CTCTTTGGTTATGGGATAAAATACAAGTAAACATTAACAATGGTCCTCCTTGCTTCCCACCTTCTTCCCAAAGTTCCCAGGTCTTAGGAGAAAAAGAAAAATGCCTACCTATGTGTGATGGGGAGTGCAAGTTCTATTTCTCACGAATCCAGGCAGAATGCGGAGAGTACTGATTGTGAAGGGGAGACAGTGAGTGAGTTGTTTCAGCAGCCAGTGATTCCCCAAGGATATTTACTGAGTCCCTTCTGTTCCTGCTGAAGAAAGATAACATTTCCATGCTGTTAGCAAGTGAAGCAATAGTAGGGCTGACTATGGAAGTGCCTTCATTTGTTGGTTAACTGACTTACACTTCTGACGTTTCTTTTTTTTTTTTTTTTTTTTTTGAGGAAGAGTCTTGCTCTGTCGCCCAGGCTGGAGTGCAGTGGGGCGATCTCAGCTCTCTGCAAGCTCCGCCTCCCAGGTTCATGCCATTCTCCTGCCTCGGCCTCCCGAGTAGTTGGGACTACAGGTGCCCGCCACCAGGCCCGGCTAATTTTTTGTATTTTTAGTAGAGATGGGGTTTCACCATGTTAGCCAGGATGGTCTCAATCTCTTGACCTCATGATCTGCCCACCTTGGCCTTCCAAAGTGCTGGGATTACAGGCGTGAGCCACTGTGCCTGGCCTACTTCTGACTTTAACTGAGAGTGGGTAGGCATTTATTGGCTTAGAAAGTTCATGCCTAAGGAACTCACATGTCCTCTAAAATGGTAATGTAGCTGCTTTTATTTTTCAAACATAGACTTGACACCTAGACACAAACCGTGGCATTATAATCAAATTTCAACAGTCAACTTTATATTTAAGGCATTCAAACTTCCACTAATTTAGCAGATAGTCTGATGACCAAGGAAAGACCATCTCATTACAAAATGGTGTTTGCTTAAAAATATCAACTGCCAAAAAGATATTGTCCCTAAAATTTCTACTAAGGCACTATGTCATTCAGCTTTCTCCAGAGAAACAGAACCAGTAAGATATGTCTCCTATATCACCAGTATATTTAGTTGCTATTTATTTTAGAGATTTATTTCAAAAATTGGCTTATGAGATTATAGAGGCTGGAAAGTCCAAAATTTGTAGAACAGGCTGGTAGGCTGAAGATTCAGATAGGAGCTGATATTTCAGTTTTGAAGCCAATGTCTTCCTCCCTAGGGGTACCTCAGTCTTGCTTTTAAGGCTTTCCAACTGATTGAATGAGGCCTACTCCTATGACTGACAATAATCTTTACCTAAAGTCAACTGATTGTAGAGAACCACATCTACAAAATTCCTTTGCAGCAACATTTAGATTACTGTTGGATTGAATCACTGTTGGGTGCTGTTGTCTAGTGAAGTTGACACATAAAACTGACCAGGACAAATTTTCCTCAGGAACCAACTCTACTTTCCAATCTTTACATTTCCAAGATTTGAGAATTCATAATGTTAAATTCTATGTGAAATAATTCGTCGAACAATCTTTTTTATTTTTTCGTTCCCCAAATGTCTCTAGATTTATTCACTCTTACAGGCATATTCTAAGTGACTGCTATATACTTGGCACTGGCAAGGTGTAGGCCACACATACACCAGGAACCGTGCCTGTCCTCAGGAGCTGTCTACCATCATCCTTGTGTAGGTTCTCCAGCCTGATGTTGCAATTATTGCAATAACACCATTATATCTGATGTTGCCTCTCCCTCACCCTCTTATGTTGGGCAAGGGGTGGGGGTGAGAATTATTGTGTGACTTAATAGGCTGTCAAAAACCAGCATTAGTTTGTACATGGTTGATCTGAATCATAATTCCTTTTCTTTTGCCTGAGATTTGTCTGTGTAAGTAAACTTGCTGCCTAGGTACACATACACAATTACTTAACAGTTTAAATTCATATTAATATTTATAGCATTTATTCTTGCTGGAAGTAACAGATAATTTGTATTCCTACATATAAGAATATTATTGGAAAAAAGTAAATTTGCGTGAACCAATTTAAGAGCAAACATAAATCTTCATCTACGTGTTGCTACCCTAGTCTTCCTTAGCTCTCAAAAACCTAGTAGTTAATAAACCCAAAACACATACACGAGTTAATTTTTGAAATTGGTACATAATATTTGTACGTATTTATGGAGTACCTGTGATATTTTGTTACATGCATAGAATGAGTAATGGTCAAGTTAGGATATGTATGGTATCCATCCTCTTCAGTATTATTTCTATGTGTTAGGAGTATTTCAAATCCTGTCGATTTTGAAATGTACAATACATTGTTAACTGTAGTCAGTCACCCTATATGATACTTCATCTAGAAATCTTTCTTGATTTAATTGTAAGAATCTGAGTTGCTTTCCACTACCATTTCCTAAATCCAAACATCGGTGTCTTCCTGGGGGCTAATTTGCAAGGGAAAGAATGAGGAACAGCAGGACTCTTACAAGCTGCAAAGGTAATTTGCTTATTTAACTATTACTAAGGGCAGGAGGAACAGTCAGGCCAAAATGGTCTGTGCTTTTGCATAGCAACATGGCTATGAGAATATTAGAATAGGGCCTACCATCCCATTTTGAAAACTGGGGAAGAAATAAAACAGGGTAAGAGACAAAGAAAACCTGAAATTGAGCGCATCTTGAATACAATTATGAGAATAGAATAGCTATTGACTTAGAAAAATCCTATTCATTTCATTGCTTTTTCTTTAAAACATTTTCTACTGTGATAAAATGATATAATGATTTCTGTTCTCCCTTTATTATCTAGCTATTTGGTAATACAGAATGTCTTTGTAAAGAGAAAATAATATAAAAATCTTATATAGCCAGTCTCTGATCCCAGATGCTGTTCTTCTCTGTCCATTTCTTTTTCTACTAAGAGTTGTGCAGTCCGTTAATCTGATATTTAGGAATGGCCTATTGTGAATGTTCGCAAGTGACCATGGCGAATCTAATCTTTATTAGTGTAAAACTCCTTTACATATTATATACTTAGTAAGCATTTATTATTTCTGTGTCCTGGTGGATAAACTACAATAGTAATTTCTTTGGTAGTTACAATGCATTCTTTACAATGAATAATTTTGGGCAATATGTTCTTTTTCTAGGCACTCTCTATGAAGCAGCCACAGATTGTGTATTATTTTATTAGTCATGGTGACCTTAACTGAGATGAACCATTCCAGAATTTGTCTTGAACCAAGTAACAGTGTTTAAATTACTTAACTCTGCAATATTTCAAACAATGCAACCATCCATCAAAGCTAAATGTTATTAATATAAAATTAATGCCTTGAGGGAAAAAAGGGAATAGGAGTACTAGGTATGAGACAGTCTTTGGTTCTCTCTTGGCAAGTTTATATGCGTATTTTTAAACTTTAAAAAAATTTTGGATTTGGTTTGCTTCAGTTTTTAGAATCTTTTCGTTGAAAGTATATATATTTTAAAATTGTACTAATCTCTACAAAATTAAATGACAGAAGAGCTATTTGGGGGTCATTATACTAGAATATCAATGGGTACAAATCGCAAAGTTGAGTTGAAAACCTATAGCACATGTTAAGATGTTTACATAAACTCAATTATGATACTGCACCCATTGAATAGGTTCCTTTCTTGGAGTTTCTTCTCTCAGAGTCATCCTAAGCTCCTGGGGCTAAGGAAGGGCCACAGTTTCAGGGAAGCATCTCAGGGCCCTCCTGATCACTGATGAGATACCTGCATTTCTCTGCCCTTTGGGTTGGGTTTTGTGGGCCTTCTTGTTGTAGAGCCTGCTCTCATCTTTGGCAAGACTAGGAATCTGGGTGCCCAGCACTGATTCTTACAAGGTGCTCCATAGAACCATACCACTGAGGGCCTCAGGAGGGGATGGGAGTGGAGACAGAGCGGAAGCTCAGACTGCTCCCTGGACTCAGAGTCCTCCTCCCCTGAAAGCCTCAGACCTGGATTTTTCTGGGCTTCTGGAGCGTCTCTTCACTTCTCGCAGGCTTCAGAGATGCCCACCCTCTCTCCAGTAAAAGGACTTACAGTTTTTTAAAAAGGCTTTCCAGCTGAGTGTGGTGGCTCATGCTTGTAATCCCAGCACTTTGGGAGGCTGAGGCAGGTGGATCACTTGAGATTAGGAGTTAGAGACCAGCCTGGCCAACATGGCAAAACCCTGTCTCTACTAAAAATACAAAAATGAGCTGGGCGTGGTGGCATTCACCTATAATCCCAGCTACTTGGGAAGCTGAGGCAGGAGAATTGCTTGAACCCAGGAGGTGGAGGTTGCAGTGAGCCGAGATTGTACCACTGCACTCCAGCCTGGACAGCAGAGTAAGACTGTTTCAAAAAAAAAAAAAAAAAAACCTTTCCAAAGACCTAGATATATACATATATATACACACACATATACACACACATATATACATATATATTATATACATATATATATATTTTTTTTGAGATGCAGTTTAACTCTTGTTGCCCAGGCTGGAGTGCAATGGCTGATCTCAACTCACCACAGCCTCTGCCTGCTGGGTTCAAGTGATTCTCCTGCCTCAGCCTCCCGAGTAGCTGTGATTACAGGCATGTGCCACCACGCCCAGCTTATTTTTTGTATTTTTAGTAGAGACGGGGTTTCACTGTGTTAGCCAGGATGGTCTCGATCTCCCAACCTCAGGTGACCCACCCACCTCGGCTTCCCAAAGTGCTGGGATTACAGGTGTGAGCCACTGCCCCGGCCCAAGACCTAGATATTAAAAAAAAAAAAAAAAAAAAAAAATTCTGTGTTCCCAGTCACGTGCCTTCAGACTCCTCGCAGCCAGTGATGGAGGCGAGACACCCCCAGTAACAGAAGCAGTGGCGACTGCTGCATCCACTGGGTTTCAGCCTCTTCCCAGCAGCGGCTCTAACAAGCACAGCGGAACTCGACTGTATTCAATCAAGTTAGTTTCTTGCCTAGAATTGTAACTTCCACCTGCACCTTCTAGCCACCATACCAACCTCATCTGAAGAAGTTTTGCTGATTGTAAAGAAAGTGCGTCAAAAGAAGCAGGATGGAGCTCTATACTTCATGGCAGAAAGAATTGCTTGGGCACCTGAAGGCAAAAATAGATTTACAATCAGCCATATGTATGTGGATAATAAATGCCAGAAAATTAGTCCAGAAGGAAAAGCTAAAATTCAGCATCAGCTGGACCTGCATGCAGGGGACACAAACAACTAACTTCCATTTTTCCAATGAAAGCCCAGCAGTGAAAGAGCAAGATGCAGTAAAGGACCTTCTTCAGCTGCTGCCGCCCAAATTCAAGAGGAAAGCAAAGAACTAGAAGAGAAGAACAGAATGCTGCAAGAAGATCCTGTTTTGTTTCAGCTTTATAAAGACCTTGTTGTGAGCCAAGTGATCAGTGCTGAGGAATTCTGGGCCAGTTGTTTAAATGTGAACGCAACAGAAAATTCTCCACATCCAATCATAAGCAGGATGTTGGCATTGCTGCTGCATTTCTGGCTGATGTCTGGCCCCAAACGGATGGCTGTAATGCTCTGAGATATAATTTAACTTCTGACATCATTGAGGTCATATTTAGGACCTATCCAGCAGTAAAAATTAAATGTGCAGAAAATGTTCCCCACAACACGACAGAGAAGGGGATTCTGGACACGTTTTTTCCAGTCCCATTATTTTCACAGGGATCGGCTGAATACTGGGTCAAAGGATCTCTTTGCAGAATATGCCAAAATAGATGAAAAACGCCTAAAAACAATGGTTTCATTAGGAGTGAAAAACCCACTACTAGATTTAACAGCTTTGGGAGATAAATCATTAGATGAGGGCTATGGCATTTCCTCTGTGCCATCTGCTTCCAATTCTAAATCCATAAAAGAGAATAGTAATGTTGCCATCAAGAGATTTAACCATCAAAGTGCCATGGTCCAGGCAGCTGGACTCAGGAAACAAGAAGCAGAAAATGAACCAAATAGCCCAGCAGCATGGATGGAAATTCCGGAGATGCAGACTGCTTTCAGCCAGTAGTCAAAAGGGTGAAATTACAAGAGTCCATTGAATACGAAGACTTGGGGAAAAATAATTTTGTGAAAATGAATGCACTAAACCTCAAGAAGTTAGATAGGTATTATGGTCCAACTCCAACCCAGTCACTACAGTATGCAACAAGTCAGGACATTATTCTTTTCAAAGTATTGGACAAGAAATGGAAACTTATACACCCAAGTTAACTCAGATTCTCTCGAGTAGTGCTGCCGGTAATACCATCACAGCACTGTCACCTGGAGGGGCACTCATGCAGGGAGGATCACAGCAAACCATTAAACCAGATGGTGCCAAATGATATTCAGTCTGAATTGCAACACTCGCATGTAGCTGTTGGAGAACTTCTATGTCATTTCTGGTCCTGCTTTCCTAGAAGAAAAGGTAGTGAAAATGAAAAGTAATTTGGAACGATTCCAAGTTACGAAGCTCTGCCCATTCCAAGAAAAGATTCGGAGACAGTAATTAAGCACAAATTTGGTAAGTTACATAGAGATACTCCAGACAGCCTACAACAAGCTCCACACGTGGCAGTCATGGCGTCTGATGAAGAAAACGTGAGGTGGCCGTGATGCTTACAGCTTTTGTGAGACTGAGAGAACTGGAAACCTGGCCTGTCAGACAAGCAGATGATCTCATAGGAGTGATAAGAAACATCTGCTCCACGCTGACTCCCAGAGCTAATGCTATCGTACTTGCACATTGGGGACTGAAAGGAAAGAAGGGACTACATGCTGGGGAGGTAAATCAAGGCAGGACCAAAAAATGAGCTAAGTTGTAAATATATATATGTATACACATACGTACACATATGTACATGTGTATGTACATATATATTTTAAAAGACTGTTTACTGCAGTTAGGAACTGCTTTTGATTCACATTAAGCTGCTTTCAGAAATTAAAAAAAAACACATATTTTTAAAGGGTGCATTGATAAAATCTGAGGTTTTTTTGGTTTTTCTCTGTGTAAACTTTTTTCCCCTGAGTTTGTGGCACAGGGTAGACCTTAAGTATTTCTCCTCCATCCTTCATCCTCCACCCTCTATTGGAGCCTCAAGTTTTACTGAATTCCAATTATACCTCACATCAGCAAGTTAAAAAGAATACTTTAAAGCAAAGAGAGACTGCTGTTCAACAATCGGGCAACAGTTGTCAGAAGACATCATTGGTCCCGTGTTTTGTACGGAAATAAGAAACGATAAATATTGCACTGCATGTTAGTGGTTTGGAGTCCCTGAATAATAAAGATGGAACATATTTGCAGAAAGTTGCATAGGGTTTTTTATGTAGAATTTTGTCAGAAGACAATGGTGCTGCATGTTTTTCTTTGAGTGCAAACGTACATTGCTAATATATATTTTTTAAGATGGCATGTGCTTTGAAAAGACGATATTGTATTTTTAAGAGTTTAAAAATCTTATGAATAAGAAATAAAAAAAAATCTTATTTTCTTTTTCTTTTTCTTTTTTTTTTTTTTTGAGACGGAGCCTGGCTCTGTAGCCCAGGCTAGAGTGCAGTGGCCGGATCTCAGCTCACTGCAAGCTCCGCCTCCCGGGTTCACGCCTTTCTCCGGCCTCAGCCTCCCGAGTAGCTGGGACTACAGGCGCTCGCCACCTCGCCCGGCTAGGTTTTTTTTGTATTTCTTAGTAGAGACGGGGTTTCACCGTGTTAGCCAGGATGGTCTCGATCTCCTGACCTCGTGATCCGCCCGCCTCGGCCTCCCAAAGTGCTGGGATTACAGGCTTGAGCCACCGCGCCTGGCCCAAAAATCTTATTTTCACCTCTTTAGAAGAAATAAAAATATTTCTCCTCTCTTCTTTTTTCTAGCATTTGACTGTTACTGTCCTTAGCAAATCAATAATTGTTGCATAGACTGAAAAGCCTACGCGCAAAGCAAAAAAACCAAAAAAACAAAAAAACAAACAAAAAAAGAAAAAAAGATATGTTCTTTTTTCTGGAATTCGTGCCATATTTTGTTCCTGATGAGATCAACTGACTGTGTAAGACTTTGGATGTCTTGTATTAAAAATTACACGAGACTGGGCACGGTGGCTCATGCCTGTAATCCCAGCACTTTGGGAGGCCAAGCCTTGTGGATCACGAGGTCAGGAGATCGAGACCATCCTGGCTAACACTGTGAAACCCAGTCTCTACTAAAAATATAAAAAATTAGCCAGGTGTGGTGGCAGGCGCCTGTAGTCCCAGCTACTAGGGAGGCTGAGGCAGAATGGCCTGAACCCGGGAGGTGGAGCTTGTAGTGAGCTGAGACTGCACCACTGCACTCCAGCCTGGGCTACAGAGCGAGATTCCATCTCAGAAAAAAAAAAGTATAACTTTTTATACTTACTCCTTTAACTCTTAAAAAAAAAAAAAAAAAAAAAATCTGTGTTCCAAAATCCTGGAGGCAAGAAATTAGAAACTCGTGAAACCATGACGTGAGTGTGGATGCGTGGGAAGCATAATTTATGAATACTAAATTAATTACCATTTTAATATTAATAATTAATGTGTCAACATAGAATCCTGCTAAAAGATTTTTTTTAATCTTCGCCTTAAAAGTGCAGGGGTAATTTTGTGACTTTTCAACACTTTTAATGGCCTTCCTTCGATTTCAGCTTTTTCTTTTCCTGAACATGGCCTGCCATAGGAATCTGAACTGATATTAAGAAAGATTATCTCTTAGTACATGAACCAGATGCCTCTATTCCAATTAAGGACTGAAGTGGGTATTATAAATGCAAATAACTCAATACACTTGTCATATAGACACCACAAGGCTTACCTGATAAGAAGCATAAAGTCCTTGAACCATAGACCCAAGAGAAGAGAAAATGTTTTGAAGGCCATAAAGCTGCATGAGAAGAGGATTGTGATGAAAAATGTGACAGCTCTGTGTAGGGGAAGCTTATGCAGAGGAGGACTGTTCCTGAATGTTTGGTCACATGACTTGGAATATTGATGTTTTTGCCTCTTACTTTGCATTCCTTATTAATTCAGAACATGTCATTGCATTCATACTCCTTACATTTATACAGACAAAAAAGAAGAAAAAACAAACCATATGTTAAAAAGTATACCTTCATATGTTTTTCAATGATGCAAAGGGAGGTAGAGAATGAACCTTCAGTGAATATTTGCTATGTACTAGGTTCTTGCAAGTAACTTCAAATAACTTATTTAATCCTCGCAATGAGGTATGTAGGAGGGATACATATTCCTACACTACAGAAATGGCAAACAAGGCTCAAGCAGGATTAGTAGGTACTCCACACTGTAACATTTTAACTTTGCTGTGTACTAAAGGCTTGTAGGTTTTTCAATCCTGCCCATTTATTTGTAAAGTGAAAAATTGCTAAGTTATAATGTGTTATGTCCTTAACTTAGATGTTCCATACTTAAGTTTAATTTGTTGATTTATAATCCTAGAATGAGACTGAAGTTTTCCATTTACACCTGGCTGTAAAGATCATAAATATTAGTTGTGGCATTTCCTAAAAATACAAATATTTGGGGAAGACCTACTAAATCAGACTCTCCAGGCGATTCTTAACGATTGTCATCATCAGACTGGTTTGCACGTGCTGTCTTGGGCACCAGGCTGAGTGCTACCAGGCAAGGGCCATAGTTATAATCCTGACACCTAAAGCCCCCCAACCCTCACTCACCCAACTGATCCCTGTGCAGCTTCAATGGGCTAGTAAAGGGCCTCATAAATGCTGTCTTAACACACTGAGTTTGCTAAGTTTCAAGTAGAGTACGTGAAACCACAAACCTGGAACCTCTAATGTTTAGTTATGAGAAAGAGAGCTTCTAGGTGAATCTAGTGGTTTCCTTTGGGTTTCCTTTAGTTCATTGATCTGACACCACCTCTACCCCGAGAGAATCATGGGCTTCTCAGCAGGTGTTCCAAGTGGGAACTCTTTTCTCACATTTCTTTCAAGATCAAGAACAACAGGGTAGGGTTTCTAAAATTGCTATTCTCATAGAAAGGAAGGAGTTAATGGCATTCACAGAGACCTGGATGAGATTGGGGACTATCATTCTAAGTGAAGTAATCAGGGATGGAAAACAAAACATCATACGTTCTCATAAGCGGGAGCTAAGCTATGAGGATGCAAAGGCATAAGAATGACTCATGGACTTTGGGGACTCGGGGAAAGCGTGGAAAGGGGGTGAGGGACAGAAGACTACAAAAAGGGTGCAGTGTACACTGGGTGATGGGTGCACCAAAATCTCACAAATCACCACTAAAGAACTTAGATAATCAAAAACCCCTGCTCCCCAATAACCTATGGAAGTAAAAAAATTAAGTGATAGTGTGGAATAAAAATGCTTTTTCATGAAAAACAAAATGGCTTTTCTAAAATCTAAGGGAGAACAAAAGGCGGTGGAGGGCTTGGAACAAGAGGATGTAGGAATAAAAGTATCTGGCATATACCATTAATAATGGAGGTATATACCAAGGCATATACAGTTCTATTTCCGTTAAGTCCCACTAGATCATTCCCAGGACATGCAGAATTATTCCATTCCATAGGCTGCCTACAGCTTGAACTGTGAAAGGTGCTTACAACTTTTCTAGGTTTCTTTCTTTTTTAGCCTACCTTCCTACACTGTTTTATGACCCTGGGTTAGGAATCTGTTCAGCACCTTTTCACTTGGTGACCAAGACAAAGACAGTCCTGGGCCGCTGGCTTTCTCACGTTGTGGATGACTCTGGACTGAGGCACACGTCTCATCCCCAGTTGTCTCATTCTCCAGGGGTGTGCCAGCCTTTTATGTCTAAGATCTGTACTCTTTTGCTCAGGTGTACAAAAACCTTAAAGGCACTGGAAGTACCATAAGTATAGTGCTATTAGACCCCGGGAGAGGGGAGAAGCATTCCTCCAGGGGCGCCTTCTCCCCTTCTGTTGATTACGGTGATTTTCCTCCTGATCGTACCCTAGGAAAAGACCATCTATTCACTCTTTCCTCAAGAGAAACTACCCTTGTACTGCTGAGGTTCTGGAATCTAACCTCCACATCCTCCATGAGCTCTAAATAGTGCTACTGCCGAACTCCTCATTGAACAAAGCCATTTCTCTGCCTTCTCAAGGCTGTGGGACTAGACACAGATGGTTTTCAACTGTCTTTCACTTATGAAGTTTCCAAAAAGTTGTCTGGGATTCTCATTAACCCCAGTCTTCCCAGATCACTAGCAAAGGGCACAAAGTTGTGAGCTGTTAGCTGCTGCCCTGACCCCATGTTGCCGCACAAGAGGACCTCGCTGCCTCCTGTCCCATTCCTATTGCTTAACACCAAGGAAAGTTGACAGGTCCCAGGACCTTAGGGAACTGTGTTACCATTGTTGTTGCCTCTGCTGCAGCCCTGAGCCCTCCTATGCTGCCTGGCAGCTGTCAGAGCCATGGTCACTAAAGTCTAAGGGAATTTTATCCTTTAAGAAATGACCCCTAAGTAAACAGTCACCCAGTTGTACATCAGAGAAGTGACACAGAAGTCCTTACTTCATACAAGTTGAACCTCAAATCAGCTTTGTGCCTGCATGTTCCTTGCTACCCT